AAGACATATTTACAAATCTGATGGTAAAAATTTTACGAGAGACAGATCATCGCACAAATATTTCATGTACAAAACAACCAAACCACCACCAGAACCACGGAAAGGTGAAAAAGTCCTTAGCTCTAAATCGGACAGGAGAGAAAGATCAAGTTCAGTTTTTGCTCTATACCAGAGTTCAGACAGGAGTGCCAAATCATAGTTAATGATATTGTCAACGTTGACGTTTTTTATTTTGTAAGTTCCTGTTAACGTTAAGAGTAACCAGCCCCTATCGCCTTTCTGCCTTTATATACAAGGTCCCGTCTATATGAAATTTATCGTAGATTAGCTTACGTCGGCAACTCTAGTTCCGCTTCTGTTTCATAACGCGGAAAAGCTCCTTGCGTTTAGTGTATATCTCAGCAGGTCACTGCTCGATAACGTAGAATCCGTTATCTTTAAGTTCCTTGGAACGTTTCCGGTCCTCCTGACGGTGTTTGTAGACACGAAACGTGATGACGAACGGACGAGGGGAAATCCCTACCGGCTTTGCGATGCACTCGCTTAAATTCTACATTACATCAGCAGTCCACATTTGTAACTTGTCCACAAGGTACTGTTTAAGAATTTGTTCCGCCATATCCGTTGTCTCATTTGGACGCTCCACTGCATTAGTGAAGACTTGTTTATCCTGCATTGATTGTGCTTTGAATCAATACATTTCATTGACAGCCTTTCTGATTCTAATGTAGAAATTCTGTCTTCTACAGAGCTAAAATGAAATTCCACACCGTCTTTTCATTCCGATAGGAAGTCAACTATTTCCTTTGTTTTTTTTCTCATTTTCCGAAACTTCCGCTTTCGGTGTTACAAAATCAGCATCGAATTTAGACGTTTTGTTGTCTGATGAACAAACCTTTTTCTAAACCGATTCTATTATACGTTTGGAAATGTTGTCCACCTTTTTCAGCCAGACTTGATAAAGTTTTACCCAATAACGTGACTTTGTTCAAAAGGGTCCATTTAGGACCATACTCCAAAACTGAGCGTGGTTGAGACACTTAGGTGTAGAATTCAATTCTTCACCTATAGTATTTTTGTGTAGATCTATGTCCTGTCTGAACAATGTACCATGACCGAATGAACTTCATGAATAATGTTACATACAGTTGTGTCTGACTCGGTTGAATGACCGCTACAATCCGACAGGTGCGAAGACATAACTGGGCGTGGCCTATGGTTTGATTTAACACAACGCGAGAGGAGGAGGCACCCTCTTGGTGCATTGTCTGCAGTTGTACTACACAAATTTTGGTGTCATGACTCGGACACTCAACAATGTGTATTCGTGCTGTCCTTTCACATTGAAAAGAAGCATGCTCCGTCAGCTGAAGGACAGAGGGAGGTTTCCACTCTGCCTAGTTTTTAAAAGGCACAGAAAGATATTTTATGAAGACAATAATAAACCAATTGTAGCCAGTTCCAAACTATTCATATATTTCACCTTAGTTAATTTACCAGTGTTTTTGCCGGTGTGAGTTGGTACCTGAAATGCTTTACAGGTATGATAATGTATTATATGTCTCTGCCATAGAAGATTTAAAACAAATTAAATTGATTAAATTGCACAATATAGACTCATAAAAACAGTCTGATATAAAATACAAAAAATAATGTATAACATTAGAAAGATACATTTCATATCATAGGATAGAATTTCTTATAACACAGACAATAGATTGGTTGTGTTGTAAGAACTTTCTATTGACATTACAAACCTCACGAAAATGAAGATTTTTTTCATAATATGAAATATATATGATAAAATTACATGATTTCAACATTTGTGTTTTGTGGGGAGGTATAATACAGAGGGATATTTACGTCCCTGTTTTGTTTTTGTTTGTTTTTCACACATTACATACAACAATATAGCATTTGCTGATATCAAATACATAGCATACATTGGTTGTTACACAAGGCACAAAAATATACATGATATAGATACTTATTTAAGCTTTCCAGCACATAACACATTATATATGACATTTTTGGAGGAATTCATTCCAAATGCGGAAATTGTGACGCTGCATTTGCTGTTATCGTGTTCTGCAAAGTTGCTGGTGTACAGATTGCTAGGCTTTCCGCCAGATGCGGTGAATAAAGTGGAAAACACATCCATTGATGGTCACTTATGAGAACAATTCTCGCTGTGAGCTGCTCTCTCGAAGTTAACAAAGGCCGTAGTAGGACGTCTAGAGGAAGGTCGTGGCCGTCTTTTAGAAGAGTCAGAAACAAATATACAGCTGCTGGGTATTGCCGGGTAGTAGTGTGTAGACAAGAGAATACATCATTACTAATAATTCAGCGGAGGTATTTGTATGAGGTAGATGGCTTAGGTAACAATAAAATTAACCATAATTAACGGTAGAAATTTGAACATTAACTAATGTTGAAATACTTCTAAATTCTTATTCAGCGAGAAGGATTTAGATAGGGAGTTGTGTAGGGACTTCGTGTTTTGGAAGGACATGGTTATATATTTCCATTCTACTATCATTTCCCCCTTTAACTCTATGTTAACCAGATGTGACGCCCATCTGGTCAAGAGTATTAATACACATTCATAGACAGCTCCGTCTCAGATTACGTTTCAGTCTAATACAGCGATGATGTCCACACCTGGCTTCTTCAAAAACGCAACACTTCATGGTTGCACTATTAACTTTGGAAAGTGAGACAGAGACACATTTCTGAACGTTCGACAATATCCAACATGGCGGCATCGCCTCGTGGTTTGACGCATCCCTACTGTTTACGACAATATTAGTTCGCATAGCTACTCGTCTGTTTTTTTTATAGTTGTGTTTTATTACTTTCAATTAATTTAAATATAACAATAACATTCCAAATAAAAGTCGTCATCACAAAGGTTTTGTTTGTATGTGGGTTTTTTTTCTTACTCCACATGGAACTATATTTTAAGGAACTATACCATTGCTCCTTCCGTTAACTGATCTGATGACGTCAACCCTACGATAAGCGAGAAATTCAAACGTTGTATTCCGTGTTTTCATTTTATTGATCGAAATACATGTCTAAAAATGGAAATATAAACAATAAACTGTTACCAGATGGGATATACAGTGGATATGAATCCCATCCGGGTGGAAGTTAAATAGAATGGCGCCCGTTATTTATCTTCCACCCGGATGGGATTCATCAGCAAGCACGCAGTGTTGTTCAGCTCCGCATACGAGTTTTGTCAAAATGGCGACCAAGAGGTGCAGTGCGCGAACAAGACAACGGTTAAATAAGTGGAAATCATCAGAGAAAAAACACAGAAAATACGTTTGCCGTGTTCTGATGATCTGTGTGGTGTTTAGATAGCCTCCTGTCTGAATAGGTAGTATAGTAATGTTACCCACGTTAAAAGGCGTGAGACCGGTATGGCACCAAAGGTCACATCAGTCTTCGATTCCAAACAGTGATGATAGATCCCCAGTTTTCACTGCAATATAAAGTGAATGAAAATTGCTAAAACTGAAAGCCACATATATTGTTACAAGCTGAAAACTGCCACATATATTGTTACAAGTTGAATTACTATTCGCGGTCTTTTTTGCCGATTATCGCAAGTACAGTGTATGTGCTGACGTTAAAATATGGTTGCTCACACGGATATTGTACTTAACGGCGAGTCATTGGATAAAAAGAAAGTCATGTGATTGAATAAAAGATTGGAGGACTACCAGCAGGTGACCAAGATAAGCAACGGTGTGACATTTGTGCAAATATCACATCTCACTAAATATCTGTAGGTACAGCAACAACTCCTGTCACTTTCTGCTCGTTCGTAAGTATACACAGTATATCTCATTCGACAATTGACTACGCCGTTGTTCAGAATGAACGAATTCACATGCTTTTATACCTGAGCACAGACTTAGATATATAGATGGATAGGAAACTGAACCATTTTCGTCCACGTTTTAACCAGGGATTATATTTTGCTTTTTAGCGAGCTTCGACCAAGCATTTCGAGGGCTGTATTACTATCTGCAAGTCTATTCCGGTTTATACGTGAAAAATTAAATACACGAACAGGTTCCTGCATCAACGCTTTCCGTATGTATTGCACAGGTACATGCGGTTTTAATTTCATAGCATTTTAATATAACAAACCACACAACAGCCTTACAAAAGCAAAATGATTAGCAACTTATCGATTGAATTATCTAGGTAACCGCGTTCTTTCTCTAAAACGCGAAATATTCTCGCAACAGGCATACCTGTTCTTAATTCATAAATTATTTTTCTTCGCAACCAGCCATGATTTATGTTTTGACATCCACGATTCGCTTAGAATTTTATATCCAAATTCAGTATAGGTGTTTTGCGCAGCGAAGCGCTACGAGGTGTTGTACAAAAATAGAACATCTCCAAGACGTATATATACATGCATACAAACAACTTTATTTACACATACTTAACATACATCTATAACAAATCAAGTTTGGCATTAAGGGCAACTCAGCTATCAATACATAAAACTGTTCTATGTATATTTTAAAAGATCATCTTCAGATAATCTTGTACATAAATGTAACATGAAAAGTATAAGAAACAACAAAATTTTCTGATTATAAACATATACCTTATTTTAATATATATCAGTAAAAACTAACGATGAAAATTCCTTAAAAACAAAACATTACGATTTAAAGGCGATGTTGGGGATGGATGGTCGTATGACTCAAAACTAGGTTCTAAAACTCGTTGAATTAATCTGATCAAAACCTGCTGAAGCGACATCTAAATAATGACCCTATGGAGTGCTGAAACTGTGTTATATTTTTATTGACCAATCAAATCTAAGGATGCCCGAATCCTTGCATATCTTAATGAGTATACATGTACACGTGAAGGCCCTACTCATGTACATGTGTCTGATTATTGCAAGCACAGATTTGTCGTTTCTAAGCGGCCGACGAGTTTCATTTGCATGGAAGATATCAAATTTATGTGGGTCAAAATAGGCGTTTCACCAAAACCAGACAGGTAAATTACAATATCGGACTACCATTGAATGTGCAGCTGTCGGATATCATATGAAACATGTGATCACAATTGCGGCAAATTGTTTATTACAGATATGGCAGTTTTTATTGTTGTAAATATAAAGGAGGAGTGCCAGTTTCGGCCTTCTGGTGGCCATGACGAATACTTTTTATTTTTTGTCAAGATTTTAATAGACAAAAAATAAAAAGTATTCGTCATGGCCACCAGAAGGCCCAAACTGGCACTCCTCCTTTGTTGTTAATTGTGTATCAGGTATAGTAGATCTTACAGATTGACGGTATTGTTATGTAACTGGTGTATGATTATGTTAGTATAGTGTAGTAAGAAAATAGCCTCAATGTCAAAATCTTATTCAACAACGTATTTCCTATTGTACAACTTTCATAGTTAGAGTGTAGCAGGTGCAGTAAATTGCATGTTTATGTAGTGATGTATTTTGTACAACTTTCATTGTTAGAGCGTAGCAGGTGCAGTAAATTGCATGTTTATGTAGTGATGTATTTTGTTAACATGAATAATTCAAACCAAGATATTTGTCAATAAGTATGGCCAGATCGTAGGCTTTGTATTTTTTATTAGACCCTATTAGTTCCAGTACGTCTTGAATCAAATTTCAAAATGGGAAAGAATTTGATAGCCTTGGTCAATTGGAGTTATCCATCAGAGGCCCTATGGATAGATAAGGGCTTGTGAACTCCGTACAAAACCCATTAGACCTTTGTCACTAGGCCTTGGGAGTTGACACCGAACCATTAGAATATATCAGTTTATCTAAATATTGTGGTGATGGTATATAATACTCTGCATACGACTTGCCCCATTGGTACGAATTGGTTGTATATCAACTCGCCACGAAGGTGTTGTGTAACAGTGCGTGCAACACACCGCCAGTTCGTCTTCAGTCATACCTACGATACAGACGTGCTTTTACGTTCTAGGTCTGACAACGAACTCCTTGCCGATTACGGCCATTGTAGTCTATGACTATGTATACTCTAAGTGTATCCCACATTCCCTTATCCTACAACAATATCATTCTTTTGAAGAAATGCCAGGATTCTGCCAAATGTTTTGTCTGAAGCTTCCTCAGATGAAGAAGAATCAATTTTGTATCAACCATGGGTCTCGCCCACCTGGACCGGGAGGAGCGGGTCACAAATGGTGAAATTGACAAAATTCCTTCAAGCCCTTTTTCTGTATGAAGGCCTGGATTTTGTCTATACGTGATCTGAAGCATCTTTGAAGGAGAAATTATCTTTGTATAAGAAAAGTTGGTCAAGGCCCCCTTGACGGAAGAGGCTGGGTCCAGTTGGGGGAATAGAACTAATTCTTTGAAAATTTTCTCTGTTTTTTCTAGGAATTTCAGGATTCCATCCCACTTTTGTCTGGACTGTCCTTAGGAAACTTAGTTAAAGGGGTAAGAATTCTCTCCAAATTGTGAGTGTAGGGAATATGCAGCAAATATTTGAAATCACTCTGTAGAAATGAATCATTTTACTTAAGTTTGGATTCAGCAAAACCAGTTTCGATAATTATTAGCCTTTTGTTGACACCGTTTTAGGATGACTTTACCTTTTGCATTGTTGTAAAACCATAATAATTCTCTTTATCTTTCAGGGAGCCGTCAACAGAATTCGTACGTGGTACCTTAAGTTTAAAAAGACAACTGTTACTAGACAGCACCAGATACAGAGGACAATGACAAGGTACAACTAGCAATATGGAGTATATAAAGTACAATCAACGTAAATTATCAATCATTTCTAGTACATAGTGACACTTCATTACCTGATAATTTTTTTAAGAAAATAAGATGAAATGGTAGGTGTGATACAGCTTACATTATTTTATTATATCGGTCATATCATGCCGTTACAAAGTAGCATTCTATTAAAGAGTTTTCCATTATATGAATTTCTGATAATGTTCTTGTTGGCAGTTTTTTTCCGACGATGAGAATGAAGACAGTTCTTCATGAAGGAGTTGACGACATGTATAATATCCATTGTCATGCTGGCAATCTATGTCGGACAGCAATCATGGAAAGTTTAGGTAAGCAATATTCATATAACAGTTTGCTACGATTAAGAACGACAAAGTTTGCGAAAAGAATTCATCTTGAACCATATTCATATTCAGGAGTCAAAGACTTCTTGTGTAAATCAAACGTCCGAAAAGAAGAATAGCTGGTGGAAATGTGTTTCTAGGCAAAAGCCCGATAAATCTTCTTTTTTTTTTTTTTTTTTTTTAAAGAAAGAAAATTACATTCAACCTTTAATCCAGGTCATACCAGCCACTATTAGAACAGTGTTAGAACTTGAAGTTTGTTTTTGGAATTTTTGAAAATTGAGTGAATGCGCAAACTTTGAATGCAATGGTACACTTATTAATGTATTTGCGATTAACATTGATAGTATTTTTGATGATCATTGAATATCAGGTGAGTAATGCAGGTCCATTGGGCCTCTTGTTACAAAAAGCGGTATGTGTTTCGAAGTTTAGAAGTAACAAGAGATTAATTTGTATAAATGTCCAAATGTTCGCAAGAAATTGCCCTTTAACCGTTGCGTCTAAATGCATTACGGGTTCTGCGTCTTGGAATACACATATCACACATCAGATGGGTTTTACCTGTGATAGAAAATCTAATACGGGTTTCAGATTTTCAAATGAACGCAACACCGCGAAAAGATTTGAATTTACGTGACTTACGACACAATCCATTTAAGGAATTAATGTAGGTCAATTTCTGAAAAACTTGATTCTCGTGATTTTGTAAATATTGTAAATAATCATGATATTATATGTTTGTATGAGTGTTGGGTCAATGAAGAAAATGTTGAATAAGAAGGTTATAAAAGTCATATTTTCCCCAGATTTCATGACAAAGGTGGCGGCATTGTTATTTTTATCAGGTCATCAATTACTTGTCACCGTAATGTTTTTTGAAAAAAATAAATAAGAATATTATCTTACTGAAAACCATCAAGAAAATACCAGAAAATTCCATACAACTAGGGCGAAATATGAACATAGAAAGATTTACATGGAGCACCTTCTGCTTCATCGACGACACCCGCCATGTAAATATTAGTCAATCCAAGTAAGTGATGTCACGTTTTCAAATGAGAACAAGGTATACAACATCGGAACAAACATGCAAACTAACGATCATCAAATACGTCCAGCGTCATGTCGCACATAGAAAAATATATTTCTCAATGAAATCACGATGGTGACATTAAAAACTTCCCCATAATTTTTATCAACATGTATATTTTAAACTTTTATGTTACGAGTTTGCCAGTTAATTGACAACCTTTTCCACGAAAATCGTGACAATGGGAACATGCCCTTGAATATCGAATCAACTGTCACATATAAATACCATAGGTTGGAGGTCCCGGGATAAATTGCTGTTTTTGTAATGATTCTTGCAAAATCAGTGTTGATGAGTGTGTTGAAAAGTTTACCAATACATTGAAAGAATTGTTATATTCTTTAAGTATTGTTACATATCCTCAACGTAATTTTAAGGAATAAAATGTACAGAAATCGAGATAACAAAACACACCGAGGTAATATGTTAAACTTGACAAAGAAAAATCATCCGGAACATTTTAACACAAATTTCAAGAGAAGAAAAAATGTTAATAGTTGCACCCTTGATGAACATGACGTTTTCAACATTTGTAATTTGTCATCTGCAGAACCGAGAGAAAACGAAAAGCTAATATTTGAGTAAAGTATGATTTATATGTATCAGATGATACGTAAGATGTTGATATATCCGAAGGAGAAGTTGACTAAGTTATTAATAAATTAAACACGGATAAGATAAATGATAGGTATAATTATGGCGGAATTACCTAAGTAAGTTGTCTAGCCAAAATATTAACTGCAGCTTTTAATAATCGATTGATGGAATTTGATACCTCATATGAAAAAAAGACCTCTGATGCACAGTTCGGTTTTAGAAAAAAAAAATGTCTACAGCAGATGCCATGCTTGTTTTACAATCTTTATAAGAATTGTTAATATACACAATGTATGGTATAAGTTTATAAAAGAAGGCGTGAAGGGTAAAATGTTAGATAGTATACGTGCATTGTACGATGATGTAAAATGTGGTAAATTCAGTGATTTTTTTCATTTGATATTTTTAATTCGAAGAAGGGATTGTTTCACGGTGAAATCTTGTCGCCTATATTTTTTGTCTTTTACATTAATAATCGTGTTTTGCATTTGCAACTGGTAATATTGTCCTTCTATTGAACTGGAAATCGGTTTTTAAATAATTTAGTATTCACCAGTTTTATTATAAGATCATTGATACAAGGAAAAGATGATAACATAAAATGACATGAAATAGTTAAAATAGATTAAAACAAAAGTGTACCAGCTGAGTTTCGAACCCAAGTCGTAGTCGAGTTCCTTGTTTAAAACTATATAGCTACGGTAACGTAAATTTACTGACTGTTTGCTTCAAAGTACGTACGAAACTAACCTTTAGATAATCCGGTATTAGCTTGCTACGAGAAAGTAGCCGATATTTCTAGAATAACTTCCGCGTCGTACAGAAGCTTTGCTATACTGACTATATCAATCACGCATGTGATCCAGTGCATGATGTAGCATTTTAAACAAAATGGCGGGATCGACTAACAGAGGACATTGGAATTTGATAGTCAATATTTTAGGAAGTAGGCATTGTACAATGTTCTTTTCTGGTCAGATAATTTAGTCAAGATGAACTGTGGTTGTGTAGTCGCTACGGCCATTAACATAGAAGTTAGTATTATTATATAAATACTAATTACATTGTTATCATTACAAGCTAACCGGCAATATATATTTATCTATTATTTTATTTGAAATGTCGCTTTTGAAAAAAGATGGTGGTAGGGTGGGCCGGCGCAGTGGTAACGCACTCGTCTTTCACCAACTAGCTCTGGGTTCGATTTTCCGAGCGGACGGGGTCACCTGTCTGACCAAGTAAGTTCCACGAGTGCTACGGTTTCCTCACGCAGTAGGACTCAATCTGGAACAGCAAGATTAATTTTGTTTAGCAGATGACATAGAATAAAAAAAGGTTTATATTTCTATTTGTTTACTACTTCGTTTTAGGCTTTGTTTGAATTTGCAAAACAAGAGAAGACGTGTTCACAAGCACTATGACATATCTTCTACCACGCTGATTGCGATGCCCATATTGTCCCGAAGAAAGTTTGTTTTCAGAGGGTACCGCAATATTTGCATATTGTTTACACCATTTAAGCTTAAGGCAATAATTAAGTATTATTCAATATAAATGAAACGCTTACTTTTCGTTTGTAAAAGAGAGGTAACTCCAGACATCTTGGATATGAATTTTAAATAGCATATATTTCGACAGGTAAGATATTGTACAACATCTCTGTGCGTTCAGATCATCAATAATGTAGTCGGCCAGAACTCTGATTAATTAATATGATACAGCCTATAATTAAAAAATAGATGATCAAATTGAAATGAAACTCGAATCGCTGCAATGCGCAGCAAATTAGCAGTGTTGATATTCGTTCAAAGACTATAGCAAATCAGGTAGGTAGAACGAAAAACTGGACTTGCTGTCGCTAATACATGATCGTAAGAGGCGACTAAACTTGGAATCTTTTTGAGTGTCAGAAAAGCTTCGAGTTCTGCCCCCTGACCGAGACATACCACAGTCTTTAACAATTGTAGATTCTACTCTTGCATAATGTTCACTAACAACATGTTTGCCCAATGTCTGTATAATGTAACCATGTGGAGTGCCTTGCTTGGGTCAGTATACTTTTGTGTGGTAGAACTATAAAGTCGGCTTCAGTTCTAAGCTTTCAGAAATAAATACATATATAACACTAAGAAACGGAAACACGAAAGGCTCATCTACATCAGCCGCTTATCTCAATTTTCAAATATGGGTGATGATTTCAATTTTCTACTTTATTTTTCCATTTATGGATAGCAACATCCTTGCATTCCACCATACGGTTTACATTTCGCAATTGATTCGATATTCCATGCCTCTTTCTAATATCAGGATTTTTGTGCAAGATGTGGACTTCTAACTGACAAAAATGAAAGACCTCGAGAGATGAAGATTTATGAAGGTTTCTTAGTGCGGTATTATTCTGGACATGTTTGATGCTCATTAGTTTGCCTGTTGCTTCCGTTGCTGTGTACATTTTTCTCATTTGGGAACGTGACCTGATTAAATACAAAGTTGCTATCTATTAAATCTTGTCATTTCATAAAATCCATAAATCATAATTATCATATGCTTTTACACAGAAGAAGTGCTCACTTTAAGATCAGCAAAGGATACAAAACAACCAATAAGCATTGCGGATTTTGGAACTGCAGATGGCCTTGCTTCTCTTTCTCTCATGAATGAAATGATAGGTAAGTCCTATGCACTAACGTCAGGCAAAATATACAAGTAACGTTATTCCTATACACAGTAATATTCAAATCAGATAAATCCAAGATGTACATGTATATATGCGTATATGACTTGATTTCAGATGAAATAAAAGGACGTCTGGGGGAGAAGCAAGCCATTGTTGTGTACTATAACGATCAACCAATGAACGACTTCAATCGGCTTAGCAATGTTATCCATGGTTGTATAAAACATTTTGTAATGATGAACACTATTCTGTTGTAATACTTAATATTATGTTGAAAGACTTTCACACTGTAATGATTTAAAATGTATAAAGGAACCAATAACGTAAAAATACTAATCCTCTATTTCTCTTATAGCGTAACAACACGTATGTTTTTTTTTTTTTTTTTTTAATTGGAAATTTATCGTCCTCTGTATATGTTGACTATTTTTGTACAATGCAATATACTCTGCAGTCTCAATGATCAGTGAGGGATTGTGTTAGACATTGTTACAGCTATTTAAGGTATAAACATTAATACTATATAATGTTGTGTAACCCAGGCGGTGGGCAGAATTCTGGATTAACTCTCAGAAGTAACGTGTATCCAGCAATCATTCCAAGGTCTATGTACAACGTTTGCCTTCCTGATAATTCTCTGGACGTGGCTTTTTCCAGTGTAGCAACCCATTATCTCTCAAAGCAGTATGTAAGACACGAATACAGTTCCCTTGTCTGTGACGGAATTACATTATAAACTTCGCCATTTCTATTTGGTGAATTGCATTCTTTATTATCCCGAAGAAAAAAAACCAGAAGTTGCTTTTAAAAACTAAAAGTTCGAATTGCTCTTAATGAAATTACTGTAACCATATTCAAGTTCGCAGAAAAAAAAGACTGCAATAAAAATTATTTGTAAAGCGGTTTTATAAAACCACATTCATACATAGGTGTATTAACGTTTAATCATTTTCAGGGTTTGTCAAATCCAAAATGGCGTATGCTTCAGTGATGCAGACAAAACAGAACAATTCCTGATACAAGAACAAGCCAAAGACGATTGGAGGACATTTGTGATTTCAAGAGGACGGGAGATTAAACCGGGTATGTGATGTTAATGTATATTCTTTATTAGGTAGCATCATGTTCAAATATTATTATGACAGCTGACACAAAGTCAACACCGGAAAATATCAGTTTGTTGTTGTTCACTATGACGTTCAAGTAAGCTTTGTAACACATAGATTACATAGATCACGGGAAATAAAATTACTGATTTTGGGAAAAGAAGACTTGACGGAAATATAGAAGGAAGATACAGAAATAATGGACTGACTGCGGAAAAAAGATGACCGGGACGATAGAGAAAAGGAGGATTATAAGAAAAAGGCACACAATTAAAAAGCACATTTGAATACAAATTTAGAGATATATACAGTAGAGTCAAATAATGAACAGCTGTTTCAACCCTCTAGAACTTGTTAGTATCGGAGTGGTCTACATTTTGAAGTCTAGAAGCCAACATAGGAAAATCCAAAGTGATCGAAAATTGTCACAATCTCTGATAGGGAGATGCACTTTCCCAACATATTTTGTAATTTCCATACATATGATAATATTAGAATTAAAATTTGAATCAAAATGTGACATTGCATGCAGGTTACAGCAATCAACTACCAGTGTCTAACACCAGCAGTATCAAAGTGTGAAAGGAAGACATAGGAAGACACGGGGATTTGAAATCTGTTTTCTATCATTGCAATATTAACGAAAGGAAAACAATAATGTATGAAAATCACGTGTCATTCTTATTAAAACACAAAATGTCAAAGCCACGTTTACAGAGAAACTAAGGTCACAATAATCTCCCGATTTTTATAAAGTGCATATTGCATACAATGATGATTAAATCACAAATTTCATAATTTTTATAAATGTCACACCTTAAGAGGATATATTCACAATATCACTTTTTACCAGCTATGATTTAATCCGATTGTGTAATGCGTTTGAAAACAATATTTATAAGAAACTTTAACATGCTAAAATCACTATTTTATTCTTTGAAAGTCCTGTGTCGCCCAGGGGTGAATGACACATCTTAGGAGGACGAATATTCATGTCACCCCAACACCAAAAAAGCAATGGTTGTGCACTGCATAGCATAGAGCCAATAAATATCGTAAACATTATTTGAGGACGTGCTGAACTAAGCCATAAATCGTATTTCAGTAGGAACATTTATGTTCTTAACGTAATTTACTGATTTTATAGACGATTACTGGCGTCAAGTAATGCTTTTTTCTAATTGAATATACCATTTTGATTATATTTTAGTATAATTTGATATTTGTCAACTTTATGACGTAAATCTAGTTATACCTATATTACATAATGAAAATAATCTAATAGCTTTTATACTTTTTGGTCGTAAAATTATTTCAGTGTGAAGTGTAATCTCTGACTTTGGACCTACTGTTAAGCGTCACCCGTCACGTTTTAATTCATTATAATAGTGGCTTTTAGATGACGCATAGGCACTCGACGTTATTCTTAAATTATCAGATATATAGAAATTCCGAAATTTTTCAAATTATGGGGTTTATGCATCTCCCCATCTGAATTCCGACCTTTCTTTTGATTATTTTCCACAGGCGCCTCCTAGGTTTCAAAGTCAAGTCCCATAGCATCAATAACGAACAGTTGTATGATACAGTATATTTCACTTTTTGACTAAACCGTATCTAACTCCAAATTTGTAATGTAAAATCTTAAAACCATTCCTTTAATAGATAATTCATTATTCAATTTCGTATATTTTACAACAGGCTGTACACAATGAACATCATTGTTGTTCCAGGAGGTTTCATCATAACAATGAACATCTCGTCAGATGAGAAAGGCGATGAGGCGATGATAGTGGACAAGGGAACCACGTGTATCGGGAGTTTCGTGACTGATATGGCTAGGAATGGCGTTATCACACAAGTGATTATATACGGGCATTAACAAATGCTTAAATTGATTAAGTGCATGTTCAAAATAGGAATATGCAAAGATAAGATATGAATTTCAAAACAGAAACAAAGTTTTCCCTGTTTACAATCAAGATGATTGTCGTTATTGTGTGGCTCAAACTTGTAAATGCTGTAATGGTGGTTCTCGATTCATGTGTAGGGTTAACATATTGCGAACCATTCAATAAAACAGAAATGGTAATCTCTATGCAGATAATGCATATAACATATACAGAATAATACTCGCGTACCTATTAGTCATATGATCATATATATTTCCGATGGTCCACCCTCACCAAGTCTGTAATGAACAAAGCTTGCGCATCATAAGCTAATCACTTGTTATTTACAGGAGGAATATCGGGCTACAAACTTCAACAGTTACTATCTGAGAAAAGCAGCGGATTTCGTAGAGCCGTTTATCAGTGATATACCTGAAATAAGGGAACTTGGATTAGAACTGGTATCGATCAAGTCAATGAAACACTATTTACGACACCCTACTTTTGATATAGTGAACAAAGGTGAGCCGTACTTATATCATTTCATGGTTATGGACATTTTAGAAAATTATAAGAAATTTGCTCGCTACCCGATTCAAACCACAATTTGTGTTTCTTGTAGAACTGCAATTAATTAATGTAGTGTAAAACAATAAGTCAAGTATTTGGGTGACATTCAACCCAAATATGATTTCACTCCTTCAAACTTCATAACATCTTATTAAATGCATACGACAATTGCAACGTTTTAAAGTTAAATGTTTCGAATGTATTTGTCAATGTGCCTTTCATGACTTCATATTTTGGATTAAAATTTGCAGTATAATGTTAAAAAAAGAATAATATAAAGATAGTATGTACATTTCATGCATTTATTACAAAACAAATAGTAATTAGTCTTTGATTCATGAAAAAGGCCTGAATCAGGTTCTATAAAAATCTGTCTTGTGGAATTCTGAGAATATGAAGCACTGTCAAACAGAAAACCCATATTTATGGATAACCGAATTTTAAAAGTTTATACAACTTAACAGTTGTAATTTTTTGTTAAGGTGTTCTACTTTCATCAATTACATAACCCTGAACAAATAGAGCAACCTGAAATTTTGACATGTTCTCAATCTTCAATTTTGACATTTGCTTTTATATTTATGCAAAAAAATTAAAAAAAGGTCCGACCCTGTTCAATGCTTGATTACTCTAATTATTGACGTTGTAAGTTTATATTTATCAATGTTTGATGAAAAAAACTTAGAACAGGTAAATGCATTACGATATATTCGCGGAGCCCTGTAAAATAGAACTCGAATTAATATTATTAACATATTGATAACTGAGTGGTTTCCTTGTTAGAATATGCGAGTGGAAAAGTGACGGAGATAAATAACCTTACTTTACTTTCTTCATAATATTGCAGATAATACAGATAAAATGGAATATTCCCAGAGAATAGTTTCGTCAACCTACCCCTGGATGTATCATGTGGTACATGATGGATTATCTAACTCGCGGACCGAGGAGGAGAAACGAGTCATTATAGACCAATACTTCAACAGATTAAGGGACTATGTGTATGTTCATTCTGATCACAAACCGTATCTGATCTTCACAGAAGTTGTCATAAAGAAACGGAAAACGGTATGATCAAGGGCCAGTTGATATATAACCAGTAGTGTGGATATTGTAATGACAAGATCAGGATAAACAAATTAACTTGACTCAACTTAAACTTTCATCAATGTGTTTATTCCAAGCTTCACAACTGCATTAGGATCACTTATTAGCCAGCACATTTCCACAGTTACAGCCCCTTTTACAGTTAAGATACAAGCGTTTACAGACAAATTTGGTATATACTTCTTTACAATTGATTAGCTAGAGACATAAATGAAACATTTAAAAGTCAAAGAGCTTTCACTGAAGGGTCCCGAGTGGTCTGGACGACGGACAAGTCTCAGAATCAATGGTTTTTATTATGTGATTCCGAATGATCACATTTTATACTCTACAACTGTGATTTATGTATTAATCTACTAACAAATTTTAGATGTTTGTTTTAAAGAAATTGATAATTTTAATATGATCATTTACTCCATGACATGCATATAACATATAGTCTCTATTTACTATATTTTAAATAGGAGGTATTTATATATTTCAGGAATATTGATACTATGAATATGTCATTGATTTTCTGAGAATGAGACGCAAATAAAGTATTTGAATGAATCTATTGTAGCGTGGGGATCTAAACTGTATCAAAAATTTGGCCCCGGTCTAAACATAAGGAGTTAGTGATAAACCGGGTCAATCGTGGAACCGAGTATTTATCTTGTTAGATCCCTGGGACTAGGAATGATCCCGAGATCAATTCTTAAGTCTTGTGTATACTTGTGTAGTTACATGTATATGTAATTGTTTCCATAATTTGGCCACAGGGACTAGGAATGATCCCGATATCAATTCTTAAGACTTGTGTATATTACTTTCTCCATTTCCAATAAAATAAAGATAAATTAATTATTAAATTGTTAATTATAGGAAGACCAATTGCTATCAGGTTCATGATTGTTGCGCAAGTTTCGTTTGAAAGTTCTCCAACGGAAGAAATATTCTAGATGATATAATATTATTTGATAAAGATGAACGAGTTAAATTTATTAGTGAAGATAAATTATGCAGGAATAGGACATATATGTTTGCCATGCATTGCCTGATAGTTAATTCATTGTAGATTAATAAGTATTTTAAACGGGTTGTCAAGATTTCCAAGGGTTTCCTGTCATTGGAGACAAATGATGAATGATTTGTTACACATGCCCAGCCCTTCATTCTAACTTTTCTATTGAATACATACATATGTGAATGGTTTTCCTTTTGTTAACTATCAAAATAAACATGTTACTTGATAAATTGGCAGTATACATAATGATATGTATATGACAAGAAATTAACAAGTCCCCGTTGTCTATTTTCAGCTTAATTGTAAAAGCTATAACTTGTCTTAAAAATGTATATTGATATTTAGAAATAAACGAACAATATGTTCAATCTATCAATATAAATAGGAACAAATGCTGATTGAAATTGATTACTTTCTTATGATATTTCTTCATATTTATGATATATTTGACCAATGATTTTGATGACGTATATATTGGCGTTTGTTGTATGTTTAGAGTGTAATAAGATTTTGAAATGAAAAGTATGTAATATTGATATCATCGATGACTTGTTGGACCTATGCCGTTTGGAGGCCTGCATACTGACATTTGACATAACTGAGCATTGTTATAAGATATCGATGTATAAATAAAAAAAATGTTTGGTTATTTGACCTCTGACATTTAGTGACCTTCTTTATTAACCTCTGGTATATGATTGTCATTTTATAATAAGATCAAGTAAAATATTGAATATTGTGTTATGAAGAAATAAACAGAAAAAAAAAGAAAAAAAGGAAAGAAACGATTAATTGGCCGTAAGTAGTGTCTCCATTTCTTTATTTGAGATCACGAACAAAATTTCAAATCTTTACATGCAATGTGTTTGGCAATAGGTATAGAGCTATACTTACCTGTTTAAGCGAGCACTTAGCCCTATAAGCCTCTTACCAGCATTTGACATTCCTCTATGTCTCGTGGTAGAGATTAAATCTAATATAACTTTTTTTTAATAATGTTTCACTTGCATCAGTCTATTCGACCTACAGGCAATCAGGTCTTTGATTACCTTTTACAGCTTATTATTGACTTTTATTGATAGTTTGACATTACAAAAGTAGGACGAGAACCCTGAATGTACTGTGTTGGTAAATAAACCTGTCCGATATGCCTAAAAGATACACGGCAGTCAGAAATCGTTAACAAAATCAAAACAAAGGCGTGTTCGTAGGGTCATATACGGTATGAAGCAAAGTTGAATTTAAACAAAACAAAAATTAAAGAAATATTTGTGTTTCTAATGTCTTTTTAATTACCAAGGAAACAATCAAAAAGCAATCTGTTAAAGATCAGATACGTTTGAATTTTAGAGGTAAGCGCTATATAAGACAATGAATACGAACTTCACCTAATTTTGGTGACTTTTTAATTGCTGTAGAAATTATGGTTCCTATGAGATTCATTGTTAACTGCCTGAAAAAAATAGTATTATCTAGCTGGCAGCTGGTTGTTTATCAATACATGTACGATAAAGTTCGTTAGAACAGTCGATGTCTGAGTTGCCGTGATTCCTTTAGAATTTTCGGCAATCTGATTCAGAAATATGCAGTGTACCACTTACTTATCTGATATACCGAAAATTCCTATGCGACGATCAACCGTCTACTTTAATCTGTTAATATTAGCTCGTCCTACTTACTCAGGGAATACCAAGCATTGAGTCATTATTTACTCGATTGTATGGTAGTGACTGTATCATATATTCATTTCATTCCATAATTATCACTGATATGATGCTGTCGATTTCAAGACTGGGGAGGGGAGGCTGCTTTTGCATATTCTGCTTTAACTTTCAAACCAGATCATCTGGAATCAATATCTTCTCGACATAACATTGGTCTATTATGAGATCAACCTTTCCATAATCCTAATCTTACAAATTAGTAATATCAGGAGAACATTTTGACCAGCTAACGTTGTAAATTGCAAATTCAACCATATTATTGATAGGGTGTTGATAGACGAAAAAAACGAGAAAACTTTTTTTTTAAAATATATAAATAAGAACGGTCGATTGTGTATATTTATCGTACATGTAGATGACAGGTCTGGAGCGTAGTTGTGGTTAAGTGGTGTGGAATGGTGGAGCTAACCCATTTTTATATCCTAGAACCTTTCGATTCAAGGATATTTCTTAAAGGTAACCTTTGGCTATGTCAACAAATCCGGTTCTGTTGCGCCTATTTTCATAGGGTTCTTAGGGTGTTTGCACTTTATGAGTAATCTGGACTGGTTGACAATCTTAAAACCTTCATTTTGACGAAAATGGAATTACATTTTCCCACCAACAAGACATCAGTCTGATAGCCCCGATGACCTGCTATCTGTCTGTTGAACTTAGATGACCTCGACTAACATTTTGTGATAACGACAATGAAAATGTCACCGACCGCTATACATTTTGTTTACATCACACAAAATAATTGCATATTACGCACGACTGTCTTGGTCATTTAAGAATATTTATTTATATATTCAAAATAAAACACGAGACGGAGCGATTTCGCTGTCAGTCGTTGATGGTTAAAGATCACGTGACAACATCAATTTCCAGTACTGATGTCAATCATTTAGATGTTATGCTCTTCGCAATATATATGGAGGCATGACTATTTCCATGAAAATGATGAATGCCATTACATAACGATATCTACAGAAAATACTGGCTATGATGTATACAGCTTTAATATCATGAACTTAGTATAGAGTCGAAGCAATTAGCTCCAGGGAAATTTAAGCACTCGTTTCAGGACAGTAATCTTAGTGTATTTTGAAGGCATCATGATTAAAATTATGCCAAGCATTATTCCAGCATGTTCCTTATGTTATGACTAATCTGACACAGATCCACGTGATTATGACTCAATAACGGCCCTTCAGTCATTCTAGACATTGTCTAATTGTACGAAAGCCAGTCGTTAATATCCTGTACAGGAAGCTTTGTAATAACTATCACAGTGTATTTAAGACAAATCACGGTACAAAAAAAAAGAAAAAAAAAAATATAAAGTAATCGATTGTACATGTTTAAATCATTTCCATTGACGTTTCTATTCATATATTCACAGTCGATCTCGAATGTCCAGCTTGACCACTTCTTTGGTTTTCGGAAACCCCTTTCAAATTTAGCGCTGATAACATCACCTGATAGTTTTGAAAACGAGGCAGTTCATTTAGTAAACACGAACACATGACGATTGACAGAAATGACAGTGACACCGGTATTTTTTTGGATTTTTTTTTTGGATGTGACAAATGTTAATTGATTATTCTAAGTCAGTTAAGAATTATGAAATAAATGACATTAATCGGCGACCGATCAAGACGGGAAGCCATTTTTGTGTACGGGCGACGGTGTTTTGTACGCATGCGTTAACATATATGAAGAAAAATTTACATATCCAGATTGTTGATCAACAGATAAGGATTTGATTTTTCATAATTACTAAGTAACCTCTTGATGAACATATATATATATATATATATATATATATATATATGCTATTGTTTAAAATATAAATATTGTTATCATTATATGTCGCTGGGTAAAATTCAAGTGGATATTAGAAGCACAAGCAATAACACGATTGTGGTAGTTGATTCTACTCGTTACAAGTTAAACTACTCATTCTTTTATTTATTGTTTTCCCATTATCGTGAAACTTCTAACTTTTCATAGAAATCGTAATACCTGGACCAATTCCCTTAGATATAGCAACAACTACGTAAACACCCTAGATTTGGGAAGCAGTAATGTAACTATCTCAACTGGAAAATTCACATCAGGAACAAAAAACAAACAAAAAACAATACGCTAATACTACAATTGATAGAAAGTTATCACTGTTGGTATAGTGTAGAAGAAGCTTTCTGGTAGTGTATACGATAGATGATATCTTATTAGTAATGAAAGACAAGATATAATCAATATTATCTAATAGTGAAATTGAAGGACCCGGTAAGATCATTAAGGCCGGTTTTGATATGCTCTAGAGGATAAAAGTCAACCACAGTAAAAACGTGCTCGCTAACCTCATTATCCATGTACGGTCTTCATATATCAATAGCTGTTGTACCAGAGAACGTAGAAGAAGCAACCCTGATTGATTTGATAAGGCTCGAATGCGTTAATGAGAGGTACTTCGTTTATTTTAAACATTTGCTTGAATCCACGACCGATTGTCTACTTGGAGGAGGCAGTGTTCTGAAGAGTTTGATATCCCGATATCACTATGACCTTTCCTATTTTTCTATTAGTTTTCCCATGTGGTGTCACCTTTTGACGTTTGAACCAGTTCTTTAACGTTACTTTTTTCATGATCGTCAACAAACACATTGTAAATTCGAAATTTATCATTCTAGTGTGTTATAACCATTTTGAAATT